TGGCTGAGAAAAAGATGCGATTTAGTGCAAAAAATAGTGCGATTCGTGAATAAATCGCACCACTGAGAGCCAATCAGATTGCAAGGATAATCAGTGATATCAAAATGGATTTAATAAAGCCAATAACCCATGGTAAACGTAATATTAATTTTGTTATCAATCAATTAATTTATCATGATTGATATTAAATTATACCTATAACATTAAGGTCCTATAGTGCAATTGGTATTCACTCATTTTCTCTTGGCATTCAATTGTATATGAACATCGATCTTACGTTGTGTTGATATTCAGTCTACTTCATAATTGTAATTACTAATGCCCGCTTACGTAATGAGTGATCTTCATTTAAATAAAACATAAATACGTGCAATTTGCAATCTTCGTCTTCCTGGCTTAATTGAATAGCTGCCATCAATAACAATCCAAAAAAATGATTATCTCATAGAAACTACGTAAAACACTTGAATTATTTTGTTTTACGATTGCAAGTTATCGGAACCGAGGGCTGGAAAGCTGTTAGATATTCAGGGTTATAAACTGGAAAACTGGTTGATGTATTTTCCAGAGTCTTAGTGCCTCAGTTGTCGTTAGTTATCGGTCGCTTGCATATACCAAACCAGAGAATAGTACTATCTGTGTGCTCTGATTGGCTACTCGATCTCTAGGTATCCACCACCTTTCACCTCAGAACTAAATTCTTCCCATTTTGCTCAAGTGTATTAAAAAAGCACATTTTTTTTCCTAAGCGAAGTCGCTGGACCTCTCTGCGTTATCAGACACAGGTCAGTTTACAGTTTAGGGGTCCGTTTCTCGAAAGCCCCGGAAACTTTTCGGGCCCTTAAAGCTATTTTTAGTTCATCCGTATCTAAAAACGGAGAAGTGTATACGCCTGAAACTTCTTGTATGAAGGGAACCTCTGTTCATATTAAGAATATGCGAATAAAACAGCTCTGTAATCGTAAGCTACGAGATTTTGCTATGGCTTTCCGGGCCCGAAAAATGTCCAGGGCTTTCGAGAAACTGGCCTCAGCTGTGCTCGCATGTAGCTTTTCTGATGGTAGATTGGCGGTTCAAAATGTTTTGTTTACTATCACGAGTCTTGAAGGACTACATCACGGTTTGGGATCTTAAAAGGTTTAATTTGGCCTAAAGTTTTCAAGTTTGTCGATTATAATCCGTGTTCATCTTCTACAACCTTAAAGACCCTTGTTCCTTTATGGTTTATTTTTTATCTCTTTTCAGTTTTTCTATTTTAGTAAACTACTACTTTCAGGTCAGGGTTAAAATAACTCAAAACACCGTTACTGAGCTCTTTAAGTACGCTGCCATACTCTTTTCTTTTGTTAGTAACAACATTTGCAGCTGTAGCGTCTGGTAGTGCTAGTGTTACCGTGGACGTCAAGAAAAAAACGTAAGTTAAAATAATTATTATAATAATTAAATTCTTTTCTTCAGATCGAGAAGAACATCTAGATATTACAGAGTAAACTACACTGCTTTAACATTTTAAGCCTGCGTTCAATGCAGGCCTAAGATGTTAATGCCGTGCATTCTGAATGCTGTACCTCACGCTGCCTGAACTTTCATTTCCGGTCGCGTTGCGATGTTGCGAATGACAGGCCAGCTCTTTGCTAAGGGCCACGTGCGCGTGTGAGAAAAGTTGAGATGAGTTGAGTTTGTTAATCGTGAGCGGTGAAAGCGATGTTGTTCTGAGTGTGAAATCCGTGAATAAAGTTGTCTAGAACGAACCAGCAGAGTTTAATCGGCGCCCAGTAGCGACATTTTGTCCACCGAGCTGGATATTGTGCGAAATCAAGCAAAATCACCGAGCCAAGCTGTCAAGTCAGCCGTGGTAACTACGTGTAATTATCATCAAACTGTGTGGTTGAATATTGTGAAAGAGTCATTCAAGTCGTGTCAAGATGAGTGCCTCGAACAGAGAAACGAAACACCTCCACTCGTTACGGCAAGTGAGTCTACTACTTCAAGTAAACGTTATGTTTTAAGAAAGAAATTACGAGCCGAGAAGTTAGCCCTGGAACTAAAAATAGCCGAGTAAACGTTCGCAAATGAGATCGAGTGTCTGCGAGCCGAACAACAGCAACGTGCGAAGCTTTTACAACTTCAAAAGAAAGCTGAAGAATGGAGATTGGAATATGAGATCGAAGATGCCATCGCCCAGGAAGAAGGTATGTTGAATAAAGGCGATAGTGATGAAGAGTTAAACAAGTTACCTTTAGAGAGTGTGAACGATCGGGTCTCGCGCTTAGACCTGAGAATAACTGAAAACGCTGTTGTTGATAAACCTCACATCAAGGAAATTAAATCCACTAAACCAGAAGTCGTAATTGAGGTTTCTAGTGAGCCCCATGAAAAAGAGGCAAGTGAATCTTCTATTGCTAAAGGTGAAGCGGAGTTGAAAACCTCTGCCACAAGAGACCCTATCGTGCAAACGTCGAAAATAAATCAATTGCTTGAGAAAATGCTGCCAGCGTTTGTTAAAATCGTTAAACCAAACGTGCAGAGGTTCAATAAAAATCCACAAGAGTACTCCAAATTCAAAGCAGCGTTCAATGTTGAAGTGGATAAAAAGGAAGTTTACGGTGCAACAGAGAAGCTTAAATTTCTATTAGATTCTGCAGAAGGAAGAGCAAAATCATGTCTAGCGAAATTCATGCCAGGTTCAGATGAATACGAGGAGGCATGGACGGCGCTCCGGGAGCGTTTTGGCCGTGTAGACACTGTTGTGTCAGCTGCAAAGAAGCGCATAGACCAATTTCCGACCATAGTGAAAGAAAATAGTGTTCAGATCAGGCAGTATCAAGGAATAGTTTCCGAGTTGATAGGCATTTTCAAGGAGCACAATTTCCTTCATCAGCTTAGCTCGCAACTCCCTGAAGCAACTGTTGCTAAACTACCCGCACGCCTTTGCGGTAGATGGGCCGAGTTCGTTAAAGGAAAACCAAAGTTATCAACCTGGAATTCATTTGCAAATTGACTGGAAAAAGAGGCAAAAATTAGTGAGTCCAAGCAGCGGTGGATGCCGGAGAAGAAAGAATGGAAGCGTTCCGATACATCTAAAGTTGATAGGCGTAAGCCAGCTGACAAATCCCTACCTGGTCTGTTCGCGGGAGCCACGGGAGAATCTTTACGCGCCAGCTATGGAACAAAGACGTGCCCAATTCACCAGTCCACTAATCACTCTTTGCAAGAGTGGAAAAGTTTTAAGAGAATGTTGACTAGCGAAAAGGAGAAAGTTGTTGAGGAACATAAACTATGCCTGTATTGTCTATTACCCGGTCATCGTCTGAGTAAGTGTCGTAGTAAGAATAGATGCAGAGTCGAGAATTCTGACATGCGTCATCATACCCTTGTACATGAAGTTGATTTGAAATGTATTGAACGAGCAAAAGCGAAACGTGAATCAGAACGAGTGTCAGAAGTTGAGAGAGATCCAGCACCTGTCTCCGTAGAAAGCGAAGGCTCATCACCATGTCAGACTGTGGAGCCACTCGACGGGTATCGCCAATCAGCATACACAGGTTGTGAGACTGGTGGTCGTGCTTTGGTTGGAATACTTCTCATAGTTTTCTTTGGAGAAAGAGGAAAACAACAAGTGATGGCATTGCGCGACTCAGGCTGTAACACGACACTTATAGATGAAAGCTTAGCGCTCTCACTTGGGCTTCAAGGCAAAGAAGTAGATCTCGAAATTCAAGGAGTAAACGTGCAGAAGGTGTTTACTTCCCAGCACATCAAGAAATGCCATGTCGCACGAGTCGGAAAAGAGGAAGTCAAGTACTCTTTGCGAGATGTAAAGACAATTCCCAGCCTGAATGGTCCGGATCAGAAGTTGAAGGGGTCGACAATCAAGCAGGAGTATCAACACCTGAAGAACTTGGACTTAACATGACACCGACACGGGTCCAGTGCAACTCGTAATTGGAACAAACAACTCTGACTTGATTCTACCAAAGCAAATTGTGAAACCCTCGGGTCAACCGGAAGTTGGCAGAGCACCTTATGTGGTTGAAACCCTACTTGGATGGGCGGTGACTAACTGGTTACCCAGTGAGCGAAGAGTAGCATCTTCATATAGTGGGTTCAAAGTGTACGAACGAAGTTCAGTTCAAGATTAGGAGCTGAAGCAGCTGGTCATGGCCCAGTCAGAGATAGAAACGTTAGGCGTGGTGACGCTAGCAAATCCAACCCGTTCCATTGAAGACAAGCGAACATTGTCACTAATGGAAAAAACAACCTTTAAGAGTGCGAGTGAAGACGCATATGTGTCGGGCCATGTTTGCAGAGAAGAAAAACCATCTCTACCCGACGATTATGAAACGGCAGAGAAGAGACTGCAATCCCTAGAGAACAAGTTTGAGAACTGTCCCGAGACCAGAAAGAGATATGCCAAGTCAATCCAGGATGACATTGAGAAGGGCTACGTAAAGACATTGAGTGAAGAAGAAGTTCAGTGCGATAGCAAAGTGACTTGGTACTCACCACACAGATTTGTCATCAACCTCAAGAAACCTGATCGTGTCAGAAGAGTATACGATTCCTCCGCGAAATTCATGGGACAAAGTTTGACCAGATCTTCTCTCGTCTCTGTTTGGAGTTTTCCTCAGGTTTTGCGAAGGAAGAATTGCAATAGCTGCTGATGTGAAAGAAATGTACCATATGCTTGGTCTCCCTGATCGTGATAAGCCAGCGATGAGATTCTTATGGAGAGACTCTCCGGATGAAGAACCGACCGTGTATCAGTTCGAGAGAACAGTGTTTGGAGAAGTGTCTACGCCATCCAGAGCAAACTACACTATGAGGCGAAACGCTGATGAGAAAGGGGAAGATTTACCACTGGGTGTAAAAGCGGTCTACAAGCACTTTTACATGGATGATGGCCTACCATCAACAGATTCTCGCGAGGAAGCTATCGAAATGCGGAAACAGATGACTGAATTGCTACGCCGTGGAGGTTTCCGCCTACAAAAATGGCTGACAAATGACCCAGACGTCTTGGCAACCATCGCGGAACAAGATAGAACTCCCCGATTCCTCGAGCTGAGTGAAGATAAGTTGCCAACAAACAGAACTTTGGGCGTCGTTTGGGATTCCCAGGAGGATACGTTCCGGTTTACCGGACTGAAGGGTGATCCAGGTACGACGAAGCGGAAGATCTTGAGTCAAGCGTTCTCTGTTTGGCATCCGCGAGGACTCCTCCTCCCATTCTCAATTAGAAGTAAGATAATCCTTCAGAATCTGAATTGCATGAAGTATGGGTGGGATGACGAGTTAAAAGAAGCTGATCTTCGCGAGTGACGTAAATGGCGCAAGGAAGCAGAAAAGCGTAACGAAGTGAGAATACCGAGAGCCCTACTTCAAGGACAGAAACCTATCCGAGAGACTACGCTTCATGTATTTTGCGACGCTAGCCAGGATGCCTATGGCGCGTGTGCGTACCTAAGATGAGTGTTTGCAGATGACACAGTAGAGTGTAGTCTTATTACGGGAAAAGGCCGTGTTGCCCCTTTAAAGTTACAGTCTGTCTGCCGACTGGAGCTCATGGGAGCTCTATTTGCTGTGCGATTAACTGAAAAACTGGTAGAAGAAATCTACCAACAGATCATTTCATCATGGCATTGAAGAGATTCATTGCGCGACGTGGACGACCACAGAGCATCCACAGTGATAATGGAACGAACTGTGTCGGTGCGAATAATGAGTTGTGGAAAGGCATTAAACTATTGGATGAAGAGAGGATACAAAACTTCTGTGCACCTAAGGAAATTGAGTGGAAATTTTAGCCACCAAGTGCCTTGCTCTTTGATTGAGAGTGGGAGAGACTAGTGCAGTGCACAAAGAAGAGGCTGAAGGCAATTGTGACAGACAGGGTTGTTTCCAAGGGAGTGCTGAGAACTGCACTAGTCGAAGCAGAAGGGATACTAAACAGTCGACCGATTACTCATCTGTCCAATGATGCAGGGGACATTGAAGCGTTAACCCGAAATCATTTCTTGCTGTTGCGGGCGAATCTGAGTTACGAAGATGTTGAAGTTAGTGACAGAGAGATCAACTCGACAACGATGTGGCGACAAACCCAAGCGCTGGCTAATTTCTTCTGGAGACGTTTTAACAAGAAGTACCTTCCTAGCCTGACAGAAAGGAAAAAGTGGAAAGAGAAGAAACGGAGCCTCAAAGATGGAGATGTTGTCCTACTTGCTGAGCCAAATCAGCCACGAGGTGTATGGCCGCTGGGCAGAATCGTGCCTACTCATCCTGGGCAAGATGAGTTATTTCGAGCAGTTACAGTGCGTACTCAGCACGGAGAGTACGAGAGACCAATTACAAAACTCTTTTTATTAGAGGAAGCGGAAGAGTAAAACTGTTAATCGTCTCGACGAACATTGTGTCTCGACTAAGGGCGAGGATGTACCTCCCGCTTTCTGAACTTTTATTTCCGGTCGCGTTGCTATGTTGCGAGTGACAGGCCAGCTCTTTGCTAAGGACCACGTGCGCGTGTGAGAAAAGTAGAGATGAGTTGAGTTTGTAAATCGTGAGCGGTGAAAGCGAGTTGTTCTGAGTGTAAAATCGGCGAATAAAGTTGTCTAGAACGTACCAGCCGAGATTAATCGTCGCCCAATAGCCACAAATACTAAGAAAAAGCCAATCTTTCTGATATTATTAGTTGATTATCACACTCTTTCATTCATCTGAAACTGCTGTCGGATTAATAGCAACAGAATATGGAAAAATTAGTGCTAGTTGTGGTGAAAGTTTGTTCTTCAATCCTTCCCCAGAAATCTGTTGGAGAGTGAGACCCAAGCCGTCTCCCCTTTACCTCTTCACGAGAAGAGTGATGCTTTAACATTCTTAAGCGTGCTGCACTTCGAATTGAGCGGTCCGAATTCGAGCGCTGGTCGTGTGATCAATATTTTGATCGTGGTAGACTATAAGTATTAGAATTGTGCATCTTTTCACACAGGAGTAGAAATGGGCACTGGTAAACCGTTTGGCCAACTGGGTAAAATGTTTGGGATACCCTACTGTGATACATCCCAATCACCGAAGAAAACAAATGCTCCGGCGGGTCGGTCACCTTAGAGCAACGGCAGACTTAAATTACCTCCTTCTCTTCTGGTATTGTAAATAACATTTATTACTTTTGTTCTTATAGAATGAAAGAATTATTGCAGCGCATGCGCAACAGATACGATGATGCTCAACAGTATCTGCTCTCTAGTTTCCCTGCTGCCGGAGATGCTCGCATTTACCGGTGTGAGTGCAGAGGAACTGTATCAGCTTTAGTTACGTCATTCGCATGCATAATCTACTACTGGGAGTTTCCACTTGTTACGTGAAATCGAGTGTTACAGCTGTAGATGGGAATCTCATAATTGCAATTCATTTATCAACGACGTGTGTATGCTCACTTGCTTTCCCCAAACAACTCACATGCATTTTAAAGGAACTGAAGATGGATTCCAGTCACAGCTCACAAGCTGCCGGTACAAAAATTCAAAGAGAACCCAGTGTGTTTTCTGTTCTGACGTACTCACTTCGACTACTTTGTCATGTAAAATTAGTCATGCGTGTGTGACTGTGGTGCCGATAATAGCTCAAGGGCACATGATTTGTGTGCTAAGTGTCCAAGCTAGACATTCTTGACGAAACCAAGTTTGTCTGAGAGGTTCAGTAGAGCGGTTACAATCCGGAGGTGGGAGAGTCAGACCGTCTACTCTGCTACTATCTGGATAAGTGGCATACCCAACAAGTTAGCGCCCTGGCAGTTGGGATTCTTAACCAGCCATATTTATTTGAAATAGATTCAGCTTTAATTTTACTGGTTTACTTTGAGTTAAGACAATGACCATAATATTCATGCAATCAAGCTTTTTTGAACGTTTTTACATCAATCAATTTCTTTGTTCATCCGCGCTGTAACTCTAAGAAATAGCAAAAATAACGTAATGTAAAACGATAATCCAAAAGTGCAAATAGCTGTAACCTTTAGGACTCATATCAATTTAAAACCAATTTATTCATCTTTTTTTTTTTTTTAATTCCGTTTACGGTGAAAACTGTCCTACCGCCTCCACCTTGTTTGCCAGCAAGGTAGCAAGAACAGACAGGTAAACAGTGACCCTGTCAGTGATTTAATTCTTCAAAGTAGCCTCCAGTTTGTTTTGGATGGCCGTTCACAAATAAGAACATTTAATATTATACTTGGTCGGAGCAACTGCTAATCTCAACAGCTAATTCCTGCTGAAACATCTAAAAGAATTTTGACTCTAATTGTCCAATCAAAAACGCTAAACAGATATACAGGCATAATCACGACCAAAGTTTAATTGTCATATCCTATTGTCGCCATTTCTCGGGAAGAATTTCCGTCACTAAGATGACGAATCCATCTTACTTTTAAGATTGTCGGATGCCTCAAGAGCCGTCCTTGTTTGTTTTATATATTTATCTACTCATTAAAGTTGCTGAACACGTACGCTGTTGTCTTAACGGGCAGAAAACTTATTAAAAATGGAAATCACTCCAGCGTGCCGACACGCAAGTTACACTACCAAAAACTACGAAGCTGTTTTGGATTAGGTTTTTGTCACAGAAACATTCTGTAACAAAAAGAAACTAAGCAAAGAATTTCTGAATGGCCTCCGTGAAGGCGCGTAAGGAAGCTCCCGGCCCGATTCTCGTCGTAAATCCTGTCTTCCAAAATATGTGTCAAGATGACGCCAAAAAGAACCAAAGAGCGCTTGTTGCAGCTCGAGTTGAGAACTTGGGGGGAATCCGCCATTTGGATAACTGGAGTTTATCTGACGAGCAGCCAAACACAAGCAGTGCGAACGTAAAGTACGCAGGAATGTTCAGCACAAACCGTGTGGTGGCGTTTTTGTTGATTGTCGTGTGCCTCGTGTCGATATCAGCTCTGGTGTTGACAGTCATGATGCTGTTTGGCAAAATAGGCGATCGGTGCGGTTGTTCAAATACACAAGGTATGATACAGTTGTAGAACACGTAAAGTCGCATAATTATATTGTAACCATGTAATTGTTTTTGTATGCATTAATTTTGTGAAATCCAGCTCAATATTTTACATGTGATGAAGCCATTCTGGTTTTCTTGTTTAAACAACGATTTTTGAAAACTGCGAGCTTAGTATTGATTGATTTTGTTCCTGCGACAAATCTAGCATGAAGATAAATAGGATGTTCTATAAGTTGGAGAAAAGCACATTCAACACACAGCAATGACTTGTTTGGGATTTAATGAGTAAATGGGGAACAGGGTGTTGACTTTAAAGATTCATGGCAAGAACTTCATATGCTTTTTTAATGTGAAGAGTTCAAAACTGGAACGAGTTCAACTATTTGCTAAGGTGACTGCGAGCGCGGTTTTGATTCAGGTTCAATTCAGCCGCTTTTTTTGACTCGTGAATAATAATGAAAAGATCGTTCTCGAAATAAACTGATTTGCTATAAGGATTCAAATTAATAAGAATTTGGTTATAAGCGTAATCGTTAAATAATAACAAAAATCGTTATTGCCAGTTATGCATGTTGAGGCACGCAATTTNTATTTGTTTATCGACACCTATCCACTGGATAGCAATTTATCCGCAGGATAGCGTTATCTACCCTGAAAACAACTGAGCCCTGTGGTATCATTGACTACAGACCCACCACATGTTGTAACCATCTCTCTTGCAGGTAGACAACGTGACAAAGCTCCAAGGCCCAATCGGACCAATCGGGCTTCCCGGCTTCAACGGCTCTCAGGGACCGATAGGTCCCGCTGGACCTCCAGGATTGAATGGAACACAAGGACCCCAGGGCATCATGGGCCCGCAAGGGTTTAACGGCTCACAGGGAGCGCAAGGTCCAGCCGGTCCACAGGGATCCCAAGGAGCAGGAAACCTTTCTCAGTGTGTACACAAGACAGATTCAAAAACAGGAAGCCAAGACAAAATAACAAGCAACAGTCGTGCAGGCCCAGTTGAGGTTATCCTGGAAGAACCAAGCGTAAGTATACTCAATGCCGTCAAATGATGATTCCGAAACGAAACGGGTCACAATTAACTAACACACTACCTTATTGTACATGTCAAAGTAAATATCACCTTGCCTGGAACTAGCTTGCAACCGAGGCCAGTGCGGGGAGTCTTTTCAAATGCAAATATCATTTATCCCTTTTTTTATTGATATTCCTCCGCATTAGCCTCCATTGCAAGCTAGTTCCAGTCCAATACCGAAAATACGAGTATGGTCTATTCTCACTAAAGTTGCATTTACGTGAATTATCAATACTCTAAAAACTTTTAATGACATATGTTGAAAACACCTTGTCGATCAGCACAGTATAAAGTACCACATGAACGTTATTCTTGATAGCTTTTGTTTGAATGGTCACACATAGGAATTTTATGCAGGGAGAAAATTAAGACCATCTAATAAATTAAAGCATTCTAAACGTACTGCTCAATAGCTTTTATTTGGTTTGTTATACACGTGATGTTCATACAGGGATTTAAATGTGTAATGTCGCCTAGTTAGCCATAGCACAACAAACAGTAACAAGCAAAAGTAGCTTTCTTTTGAAAGGCCGCGTACTGAATAAAGAGATAAGCATTTTCGTTTCGGTTAATTGAATTTTATCAGCATGCTTCATCTTAGGTCATGGGTGCCATAATGGCGCGTCCTATGCGCTGAATAGGCTAAGTTGGATATATCAATATTTTAACATGGCTCCGAGGCTTTCAGGATAAAATTCCAATTTCTTTTGTCCCTTTAATTTAATCATTCCATAACGAGACGTGGATACAAAGAAAACGCCTCCAAATATAGGAGTTTGTCTTGAAAGCCTCGGAGCCACGTTAGAATATTAATATATCGAACGTGGCCTATTGTGAACCAGTCCAGTCCATCAATTTGAATCGAACCAAGCGTGTGTGTTCGTCTGTGGGCGTATTTGAAGAAAGCAAATAAAGTTAATCTGTGTTATTATATTTTGTTCATCATTCAGGCAACTCAGTACAAGTCTCCTTTCCTTTGAGTTAATGTATGAAACAAAATTTCTCTTTTCTTCACAGGGCAAAAGAATAGTGGGCGCGACATGCTCAACGGACTTTGCTCAACAGTATTTGCTTACAACCGCCACAAACCCAGCCAACGGTCATTTATTTTACTACTGTAAGTGCTATGGACAGTATGACTCTGTCGCGCGAAGTGTGGAATGCACCATCCATTACTGGGAATGCCCGCTGAAATCTTGAAGTCTACTGATGTCCTGGTGTACGGAGGGTGTTGAGTCCAAATCCTCCGAAGGAAAAAAGATGGCGACTGTACATTTTACCACAATACCATGCGAACCTTGCGCAACCCATTAGGCGCAAGGAAAGCCAAATTTTTGCAGATGTTTCCCTTTGCTAAGGAAATTGTGTATGCTCGGGTTTGACTGAGACGTTGGAATTTTTCTGTACGATTTTATGGGCATTGTGAAAGGTTACTGGCGCTGAGAGTTATGGGTAAATGTACCAGTAACCATCTATTTCCTACGGAGGATTGCAAGACAGTGTTTATAGTCTTTTAAATCGGTTTAGGTAGACCTTATATTAACACATTCCCAGGGTCTTAGCGGCATTGATCTCATACATGTAGATGACATCTGATAGAAGAGTATTGAGAGAACAAAAACTGTTATAAATCTCGCTGTGGGCAGCCTTCCTAGTGGGGTTATGACCAGGAATGAAAGAAGCAGAGCGGAGCGGGCATAACGGGGTTATTCCGCTGGCCGCTGTTGCTTTCGGCGCCCCATACTGTATAAAGAAGCTTGTTTTCAGCCCGGTAATCCCGAAGACATAACATGGGTTTAAAATATATTATCGGCTAATTAGAAAACCCCTACCTGTTGTATAGCCAATAACCCACCGTAACCATAAAAATTGCAATTTTCTCGATTGTAATTGGTTTAAAAAACTCTTATTTTCCACTATTTCACCTGCCAGGTTGTTATCGGACATGCATTTTGTTATCGGAAAGTTCAATAAGCCAATCACATTCAAAGATAAGACCAAAGAAGACACGTACAAATTACTTTGAATATTCATTTTTTTAATCGCTACATAACTGACTGTAATGATATTCCATCGAATATTATGCATGCACCTTCATTAAGCAGTTTTAAATCCTATCTATTAGATCAATTGTGTCAATTTTAAATCAGGTGTAACTCGTGAGTGACATGCATGAAATTTAATTAGGTTAGCTTTGGGCCGTATTTAAATCTTATTTCATAATTTTTAGTGTCAATTTTAGTATGCAATTTAATAGGGCTAGTTTTGGGCCGCACTTAAATTTTAAATTTCACTTCTTAATATTTTTAGAATGTTTAATATCAAAGAATGTTGTTTGTATGGGAATTTAGTTTCCCCCAATTACTCTCCAGTCATGTGCTTCTTGTAATTTCTGTGATTTAGTTACTTGTACTAGCATGACAAAGTATTATTAAACTTAAACTTAAACTTAAACTTAAACTTAAAGTTGTAGTTTAATCAACCAATCACAACCTTGGTCACATTTAAACAATTTACGTTTTCTTTGTCAGTCTTTTAATGCAAATTTTCCCTTTCTTTCATAACTTGACTATTCGTCTTTTCCCGGAAACTGTGATTTTCATGATTAATTGTTAATAAGACTTCGTGTCGTCCAATTCGGTCTGTAATCATACTCGTGATAAACAAATCGGACTCCCGCTGCGCGGTCCGGTCCGATTTTGTTATCACTCGTATGATTACAGACCGAATTGGACTCCACTCAGCAGTCCTATTACCATTACTAAACGTAATATTCATTTTGTTATCAATCAAAGAAGAAAATGTTACGAGGGTAATCGCACTGATTTATCATGATTGATATTAAATTATACCTATAACATTAAGGTCCTAGAGATGCACTTGATATTCAATTATGAACTTTATTGTTATAATTACTAAGACTTTCTTACGTAATGAATGATCTTTATTTAAATAAAACATAAATACGCGTAATTTGCGATCTTCGTTTTCCTGGCTTAATTGAATAGCTGCCAACATTAACAGCCNAAAAAAAAAAAAAAAAAAAATGAATAGAAACTACGTAAAACTCCTGGGTTACTTTGTTTCACGATTGCGACTTATCGGAACCTAGCGCTCGAAAGCTGTTAGATAGTCAGGGTCTGTAAACTGGAAAACTGGATGATGTATTTTCCAGAGTCTTATTGCCTCAGTTGTCATTAGTTAATAATCACTTGCATATAACAAACCGGTGAAAAGTGCCATCTATGTGCTCTGATTGGCTATTTCATCTCTAGGTATCCACTGCCTTTCACCTCAGAACTAAACAAAATGGCTTCCCATTTTGCTCAAGTGTAGTTTTTTTTTTTTTGAATACAGATATTGTTTTTTTTGTAAGCAAGGTCGCCAGACCACTCTGCCTAATCAGACACAGGTTAGTTCACAGTTCACCTGTGCTTCTCTGATAGTAAATGTGTGGTTCAAAATGTTTTGTTTTCTACCGCGAGCCTAAAAGGACCTACTTTACGGTTTGGGCATCTTAAAAGGTTTAGCCTACATTTTTCAAGTTCGTCGTTTGTAATCCGTGGCATTCTTCTCCAAATCCTCAACAAACCATGTTCCTTTATGGATTAATTTTTATCTCTTTTCAGTTTTTCGATCTTAGGTAAACTACTATTTTCAGGTCATGGCCATAATAACTCAAAATACCGTTACTGAGTTCCTTTATGTACACTGCGTTACTCGATTTTTTATCACGCATTGAAAAAGCTTAAATATTACGCCCCTCGAAACAAATGTCATATAACAACCTTACTGGCTTCTCTTTACGACCCCATCTCAGCACGCTACTTTCCTCGATATCCACGTTAAGGGGGCCTCTGTAGAAAGGTTCGACAAAATTAATACTTTTCCAGAAACTTGGTCACAATGAACACATGCCAAGTGGAAATTTGGTCATTTTATTTCTTTTCATCTACTCCAAAATCTCTGAACTAGTTGATATTTTGCTTATTTTAGTGGCAAGATTCTAATCTGTTGGGAATGTTAATCTGGGAGCAGTATGATCCACGCCGCAATTATAAGGAAATTATCTTTATTTTTCTTTTGATGTTATTTGTATAAGAACAGGTAAGGTGCTATTCTCACAAAGCTTGCCTAGGGTAGAGGGAAGAATTACATATGCTTATGTACATGGACATCAAAATTGCATTTAGATGTGACTTTCTCTCGTAAATTATGAAATGGTTTTAGACGAACTGACATCTGACATCTGACATCTTTTGAATGACAAGGCCTCTAACAGAAAATAATCAGATGGTAATGATCAGCGGCCTGAAGAGTATTATTACGGGTCTTGGGCATGCTATTTCCAGCTGACAAGTGATATATGAAAGATCATATATTTGGACTACGAAGAAAGATATGAAGACATGGTTAATCATTGCTCTGCGATACCGGTACAGCAAGGCGATATGTTGTGTGCATAACTGCGATGATCAGTCATGTCCTCTTATTATTTCCAACGTGTCGAATATTTACCATGAGCAAGGAGAAATTCTAGCTTTAAAGGAAAAAAGCAGAAATATTTAGTACATGTAGTAGTCTATGCACAATGTTACTCGCTCGCCGATAGAGCTTCAAAACAGGATCTCGACAGCGTGTCGAGTGGGAAACAGCGAACTAATCAACAAACACGGTCGACACTTTCGACCATGTGCTTTCTTGTTTATTACACTTATACCGCAAGGGCTTATGGGAGTTACAACTCTAGAGGGATTATGGGTCTCGACCCTCACAACAACACAAGTAAATAGTGTTTTTCACGCTTTCTGAGTGGTTTAACTCGGAGGTAATTCTCAAAGTGCTATTCACTTCCGAGCAGACTGAAATGAAATTTCCTACATGTTTGTTTATTGTCAGAAATAAAGACATATTTTGGTCCGGTAGTTTTTCAGTTTGTGTGGTATATACTAAAATGATTAATCATCTCAGTGTCGGTGAAAGTGGTGGATATTTACCTCTACTTCCTCCAGGTAAATAACTATTAAATATAGAACAGAAATAACTGACAAGAATAGGGAGAGAGATAGGAGAAAGAAAATTAAAAACTGGGACCATGCATCGCAGAACTGCATGTTAACTTACATAGATACCAGTTAATAACCTCGTTATTCGTAGTCGACAAAATCATCCCAAAAATTAAAGCCTGGTCCCAGTGGTTGAGAGACTGGATAACACTATCCACCGAATAAAGAAGTGTTAACAAAAAAAATCACGCTATCCGCTGGTTAGCGACTTATCCGGTGAATAGCGTTATCCACCTTTCGAACAATCCGGGCCTGGGGCTCGTTTCTCGAAGGTCCCGAGAAATTTTCGCACCCGAAAAGCTGTAACAAAATCTCAAACCTTATGACTTCAGAGCTGTTTTATATATGCACATATTCTCAATATAAACGGAAGTTCCCTTCATACAAAAAGTCTCAAGCGTATACACCTCTCTGTCTAGATCTTTAAATACCGATTAACCAAAGATGGCTTTGAGGGCCCGAAAAGTTTCCGGGGCTTTCGAGAAACGGCCCCGAATCTTTTAAAGCATCGATCACTTTTTAATTAGTCAATATCCGTCCAATGAAGATGCATAACGATGACAAAGTTTTAAAAGCGAATGTGCCCAAAAATAAAATATTTTCAAAATATGGTGGCAACAGCCAAAAAATAAATTCGCTCATACTCTCAGGTTAGGTAGGCCTTAGTGTCAAACAAATCACGACAGACTTCGTTTGGCTGAATATCGATTTATTTACGAGAAGATAGATCATAACCGAATTCCGTCAAAATGCCGCTTTTGGAGCTCAAAAACCATTTTAGACTACTGATAGGGAAAGATAAATGTAAATATGATCACGTGCTACCTGGGCCGCAGTCGTCCTGAGTTGGGTGTAACCTCTGGAGATAAAGTGATATAGAAATAAATATCTGTAGAGCTAGGGTGGGTACTACGAAAACTCTCGGCCTCGCAATAATGGAAATAAAAAGTGAATATTTTTTTGGAACGAAACTCAGTTTCGACACAGTAACGGATCGATTAGTTCACAGTCCAAGGGTTTATGCGTGACACGTCACGAAGGCAAAACTTTGTGTGACAGGTGAAAAACAACTAAAAGACATACGTGATTCGTGAATTCATGAAACAGTATGGATAAAAACAGCTAAAAATATAAGTGGCACGTGAATTTTGTTAAAATTTGTGCGTGAAACGCGAACAATCTCCCTACCTCCCCTCCAAAGTTACTTTGCCGCAGTTTTCGATTTCAGTTCACCTCGTTTTGAATTTAAAGTTAATTTGCGTTATTCCGCCAAACGAGGGACAGATGTCCTTGAAATAACCCCATTTTTGGCCGCATCTGATTCGCTGTTCAGTTCAAGACTTATATTTAAACAAAGTTATCTTACGTGGAGTGTTTACAGCCTCATTTTCAACGAGATGGGAACAGAGAAACCTCGAATCAGAAAACCCCGAAATACGCTTTGTGAACAACTCAAGATCAGGAGGCGGCGCAGCACTATTCCTCTAAGTTATATTGCTTTTATGTGAACGATGCAACAATTCAGTTCAGCACTCAGCAGGACTGCAGCCCTGTTTTTTGATACAGCGACATAAAGGTAAGAGGATGTTATATTAAATAAATTGCACACTGGACTTCAAATGCGAAACAATCGAGTTTGCGTGTTGTATGTGTTCCGGCCAATTAACGGCACCGTCGAATCGGTGCATTTTATCCAACTTTCAAATTTGATTAAAGCGCTCCGAATCATTTCCCCAAAAAATCCTTTGGAGATCGATAAGGACTACTTATCGCCTTCCAAAAGCCAGATTTTCAGTCAATTATTTCGTGTAGCACATAGTTAAATAACGCGTTTCTTTTGACCTATTTTCAGTCTAGTTAAAAGTAGGTCGGATAAATTTAATTAGATTTTGCAGATAAATATAGGCAAGAATTGCTTAAATTGCTGTCAACATATATTTTGATGTTGGTTTTCAAGATTTGATAGTTTTTATTGATCTAGGTTCTTTGATTTTGTGACGTAAAGCTTTGAGATTCCTCTTAAATTTTGAGCTCCAAAAGCGGCATTTTGACGGAATTCGGCTATTATCGCTTTTCTCGTAAATAAATCGATATTCAGCCAAACGAAGTATGTCGTGATTTGTTTGACACTAAGGCCTACCTAACTTGAGAATATGAGCGAATTTATTTTTTGGCTGTTGCCGCGATATGTTTCACCATTGGGAACATTCGCTCTTAAGTGGTAAGCGGGCATTCCCAGTAATGTATGATGCAGTCCACGGATTGCGAGCCAGTTCCATAGTGTCCGTAACAATCACAAAAGTAAAATTGAACACCGTCGGCGGGGTTTATGCTGCTTCTAAGAAGATACTGTTGAGCTCTGTCTGTTGAGCATGTGACGCTAATTATCCTTCTACCCTGGAAGAAAAAAAAGTACTTAAAAATTCTTTCCAGACCGACGCTATTTAAAAACATTATTACATTTCAAAATATCATGTTGAGTCTCTTGTAAGTTCTGTTTAAGAAGACATCTATGAGATGAGTTGCATTCTCTGTGAATCTTGGACCCTCTAGTTTTGAGATAAATTGAAATATATAATAGGTTATTCTACATTCGGGGTGGACGTAGACTAAATAAATAAGTGGTAGTTCGAATAACAATACTTCAAATATTACTTATTAATTACTAAATAATTACAATTCGACAATTATCTATACTGATGTAAAGCTTAGAATATCACAGAACGTCAAAAAGTCCTCAGTTCTCTTAGAGTAGAAAACAGTTACTTACACTCGGCTCTTCCAAAGTGACCGTAGTTGGAGCGGCAGGAGGAAATATTGTCACTGGATTTTGGCTTCCTGCCACCGAATCTGTCTTGTGTTCACACTGAGAAATGTTTCCTGCGCCTTGAGGTCCCTGTGGCCCGGTAAGACCTTGAGCTCCTTGTGAGCCGTTAAAGCCCTGAAGGCCCATGATACCCTGGAGTCCCTGTGTTCCATTGAATCCTGGAGGTCCAGCAGGACCAGTCGGTCCCTGAGAGCCGTTGAAACCGGGAGGACCGATTGGGCCCTGGAGCTTACTGACGTTGTCTACCTGCGAGATCGATAGTGTAACTATAAATCTCTCTTGGACAGGAAGTAGGGCTAACGTTGCATTCAGTAATTAATCAAAACAACTTATTTTCACTTTGCATGAGTTAAGTTACATTTATACCGGCTCAGATCTAATGAGAGACATGGAAAGATAATCCCGCTGGTGCTGAGTTTGAGGGAGTCAACTGTGTGCTGCTTGCC